AGACGTTCATTTGGACAAACCTAGTTAAAATCCCACCAATAATATCACTCACTTGCTAAGTATGTTCCTTAACACTACCTTCTTTTTAATAAAAACAACCTTAATGGGAATATGTGAAGAGTAAATGAAGCATTGTTTGATTCACTTGAGCAGATATTTTGGATGTCACAATTTTGAAGTTAATTTCTAGAATCACATAGAAATTGCAAACTCATTAAGATATACTCTAGATTCCCATGTCCAGGGATTTCTTTAGAGATGTGCTTTTACTCTGTATGGTACCATTAAAAGAAAGTATATTGAAAGTTAAAGGAGCTGGAGTAGGGCTTAAAAGCATTTTATAAATCTATGACACATATTATTAGACCACAAGTACAATTTGAGAGTTCACTCAGACATTTATAAGGCTTGACTGAGCTCTAAACGCATCCTGCAAATTCAATCTACATCCATTTATAGCTAGATGAATACTTAGCCCATGATAAACTAGTGTCCTTTTTCCAAGTCAAGAAAAATAAATGGCCTCTTTTGCAGTGGTTTTTCCTTATTGGAGTCATTTTGGATAATGGTTTTTCACTCATTTAGCTGAGTCATTGTACATGTGTGTATTAATTTATACACACAGTGAATAGATATGCAATTGATATGTAAGAAATATTGCCTATGCAGACCTTGCTATGCAAAATGCTGAGTGAAAAAAATGGTGGACTGAAATATGCATTCTCAAGAGAAACCAGATATGCAAACAAAGAAACAAAGCAAAATAATATAAATGAATATTAATGTTATAAAATGGAAAACACAAGGACAAACACAGATATGAGTGCAACAAATAAATGCTGAACTAAGAAGAGGCAGGACTGCTATGGACTGCTGTGAGACATGGTAGAAGCGCCCTCTAAGAACTGGCTACTGAGAGGGATTTACTGGTTGGCCCCAAGTTCCATCTGCGGAGATGAGGCTTTATCAGGGAAGTCCTTGACATGAGCCAAGCCAAGAAAGCAAAGGATAGGTAGGCTTTTATAGGCACTGAGTCATCCATAATTGGCCCAGGTGGCTAGGAATGTGTTAGAGAATACGTTTGGGAAAATATTGTCAATTTATAGATTTTATTCTGCAGGTACAAAGCAGTGAGGCAAAGGTTTATTAGTTGATGCCAATACCAATTTCCCTATTATTCTGTGGTAGTAGAACCTCCTGCTTGAACTTGATTCACAAGTACCCAGATCAAAGGCTATTTGTAATCCTCTGTGAGGTGTCCTAATTATGGCTGCATAGCTGTGGGCGGAAGCAGAAAGGAGGTGTGCTTCCGGGAGTGCTCTGAAAGGGAAGAGGGAGGCCTCCTCTTCCGTAACTTTTCCCTTTCTCTAGCATGCTGCCTGAAACATGGAGATAGTGTGCTATCTGGGATCATGGGAGCTGGCAAACACCATAGCACAGCAGACTGGCAGGAGGCAAGGAAACATCCTCACCATGGTCAGGCTGCTATAGTTAGTGTAACTCACACATGTGTTTGCTGAAATATAAATTGACTTCTATTTCATTTCATCTATTGTATTTTGAGGACTCTAACAGGAGCTAAAGCTGTACGCTGAGCTATTGCTCCTTACAGTCCTCCTGATAGGCAGGCAATTCGTAGGAGGGCTAGTGCCTCCGAATGTGCTGTATAAATGACACACACACTGAGTTGGAAAGCTTGGTCTTGCTTAAAACAGGGAACCCTTTGAAGTGTTTGAGTAAGAAAAGAAAGTGACAGGGTAAGAATTGAGATTTACAAGAATTAATTTGAACGAATATAGCAGATCCATGTTGCCTGAAGCTTGGCGTAGGAATTGCAGGATTTGCAACAGAAAGAACAGTTTTGAAGTGATAAGAACGTTTTTTAAATCTAGATTGTAGTTGTTGCCACATGTAATATGTGTGTGTGCATTTATGGCCCCCAATAAAGCTGATTAAAGAAATTAATTTGGTTTTGTGAGTCCTCCCAAATATATCGATAGGATACCGGAGATGAGGAGAAGAGAGAGCAACCAAACCTTTAGATACTTGGATTCGTTCTGGGAAATTTTAGGGGGGAAGGAATTAGTTGGACAAAAGTATGATTTTGAAGGAAGCAGTTGTGGAATGTGGCTGCCAGTTAGACCTGGAGATACTGATTTGTATGTAAGAGAATCTGGTCTTTCTGCAGAAGGAGTTGGCTGAGCCTTACCGCGTTATGTTACAGTAGAGCAGGAGAAAATAAGAGTGCTCATGCATACTAGTGAAATCTGAGTCCTTTGTTTACTTTTAAAATGGGACCTATGATGTCTAAACATTGCAAAGGAATTATAAAGAGCGATAAAATATGCACAAAGCACCTTGCATGGTGTGTCTATTGTCAAATAGGAATCCAAGCATGCATAAGAGAAAGGCTGATTGCAATTAACATATTAAAATAAGTAATAATGAGCTTGAAGAAGATATCAAAGATTTTCCTACACGTGTTTCTAGGATGTGCCTGGAGGTAAGGGAGCAAGAACTCAGCTCATACAAAAGGTGAATTCACTTTTAAATGGCAGGATGGTAATAGGAAGAGGAGTTAGATAAAGCAGGATAGCAGTTGGTAGTAATTTTTTAAAACAGGGGCTGTTCTTTTGCTACGGCAGATTTAGTAGGGTATTCATACATATGTCATCTCTTTACCACTTGGAGTCATTTGCAAGTGTGGAAGTTCAGACCAAAAGACTTTTGTAGCATCCTGCTTAGTAGTTGCTTCATGTGAGGTTTGGTTCTCAGCCCATTTTCTATCAGGCTTCCTGAGACGGGAATACAATACATAAAAATCTCAGGCTCCACAGTGAATTCTCCGGAGCTCCAGCCTGGAATTTACAGTTGCCTGTAGACATCTCCATCTGTATGTCCTACGGGCATCTCCAACTCAGTGGATGCCAAACCAAATTAATTACTCTCCCACACATTCAGTCTGCTCTAGCCTTCTATCTAGATTAATGCCATTGCCAATTTACTCAGAACAAAATCTAGAGATTTCAGTTCTTTTACTTTTTATCCCATACTCCTCAAAGTTCATATGTTGTCAAATTTGTGGATTCATCCTGTACAGGTTTATTTTATGTGTTCTGTTTTTTGATTTGCATTGCCCTGGTGGAGATTTTCATCTCTCTTCAAGAATATAGAAAGAGCAGTCTGTCCAGTCTCCTACAAAGGCCCGCAGAGTTGGACAGCATGGGTTGTCCATTTACTTAGACTACAGGAAAAGATGGCCACCCCTGGGGAGTGGTGCAAAGGTCACAATTGCTTCCCTGTGCCTATTTTTTCACTTAGCTAATCTAGAGAGATTTCTGAAACAATCATTATTCTTTTTCTGAAAACACTTCAAAGATTCCCCACTGACCCTACAGAATGACTCCTCAAACCCAAATTTCCTCCATTTCCTTGCCTATGGTGTTTTTCTGGCATTCTATGTTCTGAACCACAATCCATCCCCAAAACAGTGCATGTTTTTAACCTTAGAGTCACAGCTCATGGAATATTCTTCATAAATTAGCTTCATCTCTACTTCTCTTCCTGACCTACCGTAAAGGTCATTTCCTCAGTATAACCACCTTGATTCCACTTTCCTCCATCTCTTAAGAAGAGCACTATTCACCACATGTTTCTTTCTTTATTTTTTTCCTGTGGTTATCACGATTGTCTCTAACTCATTTTACAGGGCTGAAGGACCAGCATTGTCTCTAATTGCCAGCTCTGAGGCTCCAGGGCACTTTGAATTGCCTGTTAATGAGTCTAAAAATATCTTCTTACATTTTTATTTTAATAAATGGTGATTTTTACTGAAAAAACAAGCTTTAAAAGTTCCCAAAGAAATAGTTAAAATTTGATTGCTATATACCCAAACATCAAACTCCCTTAGCTCTCCAGAATTAAATGCACTTTTTAAAGTTCCTTACAGTTTTATTATTCCAGGTGCGTTAATACCATAAGAGGCCTTTGTGGACCACTGCCATAAATATCATTTGTTCCCATTAAGCAAATGTATTGTACACCAGATGACTGTCTAAATTTATGTTCACTGTTCTAGAGGGCAGTAAATCAGATGATATATCAAAATATCCCATCTAAAATGTACAAATCAACTTTTATAATTTAAGTGCTTTTGTTTTTTAGTAAGCTGCTTGTTCTCAGTAATTGTGAGACACCTTAAAAGATATGCCAACAAATTTATCCAAATAATTCAAATATGAATTATGAGTTCATATATGAACTCATATAAATATGAAAATGAGTTCATAACTGTCAGAGTTATTTTGGTATTGTAGGCAGAATTACTGGGAATTGAAGAAATTATAAAAAGGGATCATTTTTGGTTGAGCAAGTAACCAATTTTTATTTAAATCTATGGAAGATTAAAATCTGGTAGGTAATCTCAACTTCAGATATTAAAGTTTTTAGACTCATTTTATTTCTTCCTTTTTCTTTTTTTAAAGAGACAAATTCTTGCTATGTTGTCCAGACTGGCCTTGAATTCCTGGGCTCAAGCCATCCTCTCGCCTCAATCCTCAAGTAGCTGGAATTATAGGCACGCATCACCACACCCTGCTAATCTATGTCCCTTTAGAAATTAATAACCCAACAAACAGTTGAGAAAATACTGAGATAAACATACTGTAAATAGCATAGTTTTAGATCATATGAAGCTACAATTATTTATCATTTAGCTAAAACACAAGCTTGAAAAATAAACCAGTGTCTCCTCAGTGAAAATACTTGGATAGATCACTTACAGAGTTTGGAAATTATTAATATTTTATTCAATCATCCCAACGCATGTTCTTCCTCCCGTTGCTAATCTTTTCAAGTGATAAAGGTGCTTTAAATGTATAAAAATAGGCACAAAGTATTACTGTCTAGAAAATATTTATTGACACTTGTTTTAATTCTCTTTCCATAATCTGAGAAATAAACAAGATACACAAAATACAGTAAAATGCACTCTTCCCACTTCAAATAAATATATTTTACTTTTGTAAAAAAATTAATAATCTGTGTAATTTGCCACAACATATTAATCAGTGAGATAAAGCAAAGATAATCTCTGTCAAACTGTCATTTTAATGATTCTTACAAGCATTTTTCTGAGACAAAGAATATTACTCATTGGAGAATTGTACTGACTTCAAAACTGTTGCTTTTTTTTTTTAGAAAAGGCAAAGATAAGTTCTTTTAAGAAGTGTTTATTTCCAAAAACAGTCTTCATGTAGGAGAAAACGGCATCCAAGTGTTTGCTGAATCAACTCTGTGTGAATTTTCTCATCCATACTTCCTAAAGACCAGACGACATTCAGATTTCTAATGATTATGTATCACACTGGTAGTTTTCAAAATGAGTGGTTAAGCAGTTAAATTAACAGTTATGAATGTAATATAGACCCATGACTGAATTTAAAAGCTCTATTAATGGGAAAGGCTAAAACAATGGTTCGGACACAGACCACAATTGTTACTCCTAACCTTATGAGAACCCAAATCTACGGAATTATGCAGAGTTAGCATAGACATACACAGACATCCCTGATCAGTTTAACACAACGTGTTAGTTTGCTTTTTTACGTGGTAAGAATACTTTAGTAGCCAGCAAAAATCACACTTTGTCACCAATTTTGTAAATGTGCTTAATGTATGATCTATTTGCCCTCAAAAGAATATATCACCAAGTAATAAAAGTCATTAGTACTGTCTAACTTACTATGTTAATGGTTAATTGAAAATTTATATGCTATCCTGTAAATCAATCTTGACTTTAGTTCCAAATCCACTACATGTGGCTCATTATATAGATGCAGAAATGTTGATCAAATCATGCCACCTCAAATATAACTGTATTCAGAGAAACCTTACACAGGCCATAAAGTGGGTATTCGATATGTTCTAGCATTATAAATGGCATCAATTGTTGTCCAGGTGGTGACATATAAACTTTCCCCTCTTTATTTTAAAGAGCACAAAATTATACGTCTACACATTATTTTATGGCAATGTTTTTAAGTGTACAAATTTCTGAAACAGATAACTGTGTACTCAAAAATTCACAAGTCTGATAAAACAAGTTTGTGGTTTCTGTCTTTGACAATTTTTATAATTCTTCCATCTCAAAGTGTGTATTAAAGCTGTTTGCCATGGATGTGTGTTCAAAGATCCTTGAAAGGCTCGGTTTCAACAGTTCTACTGAGTGACACGGAAGGTGCTGAGAGTTGTCATTCTTCAGAGACATCATTTGGTCTGGTCCCGGTTCTCTTCTATCATAATACAGAGCCCAAAGGAGAGTAATGGTGAGAATCATGGCCAGGATTTGTGTCACCCCAATGGAGATTCCAAGAAACCTAAGTATTTGCAGTTGTTTGGTTCCTCTCAAAAAGGAGTACATTTTCTTCCCACAGCCCTGTAAAAGAAACAGGGTGACCAATATCACTGGGGATATATTACAGTTGCTTAAAAACAGTGAAAGCAAAATTCACATCAATTAAGTGAATAATAAACTTCAAGACAGCGACTTTCAACAAGCAAATGCTATGAGAAAATGGACAGAGGGAGGCATACGCCTTTAGAAAAGCCTGCTTATCTGATTGTGACAAGCAACTTTTGTTTCCCACTCAACCAGAAATTGTGTCTCACTAGCATGACAATCAATGTCTAGGCAGAAGAGTTGGCAAACGTTTACTTTTTGATAAAGAATCAGAGAGTATCAATAGTTTAGGTTTTACAGGCCATATAATCTCTACTGCAACTACTTATTTCTGTCATTATAATACAAAAACAACCATATACAGTTTATAAATAATGGAAGTGGATATATTCTAATGAAATGTCCATGCACACCCAAAGGCACTGGACCAGAGTTGGTTCACAAGCCACAGACTGCTGACTTCTGAATGAGATTGATTCAAACATTTTAAACATTATTATTATTAAGTTCCCTATTTTTATTAGTATGTATTTGTGATACATAATAGAATCATTGTGGGGAATCGAATATACATATATATGTATATATATATATTAATATATATGCCTATAAGATTTATAAGATGCACATATCTTAATCCTTTCACTGTTGAATTATAGTTCTCTGGTCAGAAACTTTTCCCTAAGGATCAGGAGCATTCTTTCAATCTGCTGCTCAAACATGCTGATGGGTAAAAATTAACATTTTTATGCTGACCTCTGTCCACTGCCTGCAGCAGAAATACATATGGGGAAATCATTGTTATGACCCAGCTTCTACTTTTACCATGTAGGAATCTGAAAAATATCTTTAGGCCCTACACAGATCAGAGACACCTGGATTGAGGAGAAAAAAAAATGTTTTGTTTTGTTTTTTGTACTTAAAGAACAAATGTCAAAGAATTCCTATGACAGATAGAAAAGAGGATTCTGAAGGAAGACGAGAGGAGGGAAAATGTAGAAGGAAAACTCACAATGAAGAATGAGAGAAGGAATAAAGAAAAGGAGGTAGACAAGCTATCCGTTGTCCTAAGTCACCCTTCTGAGTGACCAAAACATACCTGATTGTTTCTAGTGACCAGTATCTCAGATGACCATGCCATATGCCTCATCCCTAGGGAACCACAGCAAATAAATGTAATCTACTCCTCTAAAGGGAAATTATAAATTTCTCATTGTACATTAAGGTGACAATCTGTGTTAGTGCTTTATAAAAAATGTCAAGAACTTGAAAGATTCTGAGATTTTTACTTTATTTAGAAACCAGCAGATGAACTTGCCACAGTTTTGAGCATGCTGGCAGACAACAGAGGAAAGGAATTTATTACTCATAGCAATAAAAATTGTCAAAGAATATGTTATTTTCTCAAGTTCCTGAATATGAAGAAGGCCTGATGATGTATGCACACAGTAAGTTATACATGGGAGAGGAACCCTGAGCTTAGGGAGCCTTAATCTCTTTTAATGGGTAGTATCACTATCCTTCACTTGAGAGAGGACTATTTTTATTATACAGGACAGGAAGGATAAAAGCCTGTATTTTCTATGAAGGAAACACTACCTCTACCTTCAAGACTGTTTTCTTTACATACATTCTTGAAAAGATGGTCCAGTACAAAATTATCCAGGGTCAGGGATTTAGCTCAGTGGCACCACCCCTGCCTCGCAAGCACAAGGTTCTGAGTTCAATCCCCAGGTACCGAGAAAAAAAAGAAAGGTTAACTAGTCCAAGTGCCTCAGTTCACAAGACACAGAGAAATGTGATGGAGCCTTAAGAATTATCTCCCAACAAGAACTTGACTTTGAAAGCTTTTACTTTGTTTCCAGTTAAAGCAACTAGGTGTTTACTCTAAAAAGGCGCCTCTTGAATAAAAAGAAATTCATATTTAGATTACTTCCTCTTTGTTTTAATCTCCATATGCCACAAGGAGCTCAACTAAGTCAAGAAAAAGACTATGAATCAGTGAGTAGTCAACTTGTACATTGTATTGAAGGGGAGGGGTGAATAATATATAATTCTTGGATTTCCAAAGACATTAATTGGTAATACTAACCCAATAAGACACTACTCTAGAGAAATTTAGAAACCATGTAAAACTAGTCAAAGACACTTTTCAATAACTTCTTTCTTTTTGTAAACCATGTAATAAAAAAGAGTAAAAGAATAGCAAATATTCACCAACTTCACAAAAGTGAAATTAAAATATTTACTAAGTATGATTTTATCATACTTAATATTGGTTTCATAAGGTTATATCTCTGCTATACCATCTAGTTGATACATAGATAAGAAATACATACACAAATATTCCATGGGAGGCCAAAATACAATTCATCACAGTTAAGTACTTTCCCAAGTGTTCCACTGGGTATCTGTCAAAGCCCATTCACTCTTATGTTTATGTGCAAGTCTAATAAACACCTTTATATGATATAGTATATTATAATGGTTAAGATTATGCACTGGAAATCTTGAATCCAAATCTCTGCTCTGCTACTTATAAGCTATGTGACTTTGGGCAAGTTACTTAATCTTTCCGTGCTTCGGGTTTCTCATCTGAGATCACTATACCTATCTGTTTGGAATATTGGCAAGATTGAATGAAAACGTGCTCAGAATGTTATCTAGTATCTGGTAAGAACTCAGCAGGTACCAGTCTTAACTGGTATGCCAACCCAAAACAGAAAGCTCTATTTAGGCCGGGCGTGGGGGTGCACACCTGTAATCCCAGCACTCGGGAGGCTGAGGCAGGAGGATCGCTGTGAGTTCAAGAACAGCCTGGTCTACATAGTGAGTTCCAGGTCAGCCTTAACTACATAGTGAGGCCCTGTCTCAACATCCTCCTAAAAAAAGTAAAAGAAAGCTCAACGTAAAAATAGAAATCTGTGACCAACAGATACAGAAAAGTATGAATTTCAACACTTTGTAAAAGTATAGGGAAACAATGTGAGTATAGCATTTTGTCAGCAATGAATATTTTTTTCTTTTTTAGTATCAGGGACTGAACTCATGACCTTGGGCTTACATTACAGGAGCGGTACCGCTGAGCTAAATCCCTGGCCCTTTCACCAGTGAATATTGATGCAACAGCTACTGCTTACAACAGCCGAAGTGGTCATCACTGTTTTTCAGGATAAAGAGGTCACTCTCTAAAATGATTATCGGCCACTGAGACATGTGATCACTAGCCTCTGGATTAAGCAGAGAAATAATACTTAATGCAGTTTGCAACAAGTCACTTCAAAAACAGGAAAATAAAAACTGTTTGGTTTCAGACATGAGGAAAATGTTTATAAAGACACTTCATTTACTGCTATTGCCAGGCAATATGGGAGCACACCCTCATTCCTGTCTTTCAAGAGATTAACATAAATGGCTCTGGATTATGTTTATTGGCTCTTTACTTATGCTTTTAATATTTAATACAAAGATATAATGAATAAGAAAATAATTTATGTGGGCAGATCAATATTTTACTGGTAATAATGATAAGTTCAGAATTAAACATAAACAACTTAAAGTGCAAAATTTCAGTTAGGAAAAATAAAATTCAAGGGATCTACTGTAAAACATTACTACAGACACTAACATATTTTTAAAAGGTAAACTATTCAAGAAATATACAAACTGATAGTTCAATGCTACAAAACGTTATCAGTCAATGATCATTTCATTATTACCTTTTTAATAGTCTCTGGGGCTTAAAACTTGCCTATATAGTTATTTGTTTTTATTGGTATCTCATTTCATTTTAATTTATTTTTTATAGAGGGTAAATTTATTTCTTACGTTTCTGGAGACTGAGAAATGCACTATTGAGGGGATACATCTAGAAAGAGTCTTCTTGCTGGTGGGATGTTACCATGGATGATGGGGTCGCGGAAGGCTTTCTAGGTTCTTGTGCGCCATGAACCGGACTTGGCACGCAATGGCAAGGAAACAGCAGCAAACTTTAGTCAGGCGCTAAAACACTTGAAGTCAGTGGGCTCATACCATGTTAGTCTGAGAAATTGTAAAGGAAAGGAAATATTCCTTTTTAAAATAGTAAACAAAGAAATGAATAAAGAAGGTACAATCTATTGTTTGATTTTTTTTTGGAACATCTATTTTGATTTTCTACACAATCATATTTACTTCTTAAAAGGTACAGTAAATTATATTATCTGGGATGGTTTGGGAATAAGATATATAACTTAATATCAAATATTGTAGAATGAGAAGGGACCTTGGAAGTTAAAAGGGCTCAACTTTCTATTTTTTTGAAAGCAAGGTTGAAAAGAACTAGCTGAATGGTTATAATAAGGGCTTCTCAATGGTCTCTTCTCCATCTAAGCATTTTTCTGATAGACCCTGCCTTTGCAATAGGATGCACTCACTCTAGGTTTGCCCTTTGACCATTCCTCTTCCGTAACAGTAGGGCTCATAGCTGAAGAGTCGTAACTTTTCCTTTAACCAAACTCTTCTCCTAGTTAATTATTCTTAATTTCTTCAAATTTTCCAAATGCATATACTTCAACATTTTGATGACCCTGTTCTGAATTGTGCTGAACTTGTCAACATTTCTTTGAAAATGACATAGATTTTTTTCGTTTTTATTGAGTTTATTGGTACTTTTTAAGTACACAGTACAGTTACAGTCATCATTGGGATCTTGTACCTTTACATGACAGGTCTTGGTTCTCATTTTTCCCTCATACCCCTGCCCTCCCTTCACCCCCTCCTCCCTTCCCTGTTTACAAAGACTTTGTTTCCAGTTTTTGCTTTTCTCTTATTTTTTCTTGTCCCTTATTTCCTTTCCCCCACCCTGCCCACTTCCCCTAAACCTTTAGCTCTTTTCTTCCTATTTCACATTATCAGTTATACAATTTGGATCTTATTTACACTTTTCATTTTTCACACCAAAGAAACCATTCTGTATTTACACGTGTGCCTTATTT